TCCTGCTCAGCTCAGCCTTTGTCCTGCACCTCACAACCTGCTGAGGTTCAGGTCCAAGCCTGTTTTAGCCAGAGGAAAGAGATTGTGCACAAACACACCACAAATTTCATCTGCTGCTGTTCTGTGTTGGCTTTGCTGTGCTGGGCCAAGAGTAAAGGGGCAATAAAACTGCCCCCAAGGTCTGCTTACTCTTTTTTCTCGTTCAGATTTCTCACTAATCAGTGCTAATGGGAGATATCAGCAAAGCTGAGAACCTACACAGAGAGGGCAAGTGCTCCTCTTCCTCAAACCACTCAATAAATTAGTTCTCCTGATTTCCCGTAATTTGAGGTTTGGAGGGGTTTAAGGATGCAAGGAAATCAGTGAAAACAATCAGGCTGAAGACCCCAAAATTCAYGGTCTCCAKTYCCAGRCTCACATCACTCCAGGCATGACCAYGTGCTCTGCAGAGCTTCAGCCCCTCCTAAGGACAGATACACAACACAGGCCCCTGACAGCCTTTACAGCACTGAGCTTTGGCTTCAGGCAATTGGGGTTAATGCTGTAAGGTGCAGAAGCACAGGGTTCAGTCTTCCTTGTTCATTACCCATTTTTAGATCTTCTATTATACTATATTACACTTCTATACTTGTCTCTTTCTTACTTATAATACAGCCTTTTATTACTTTCTGCATTGCAAATGATAATAAAAAACACCTCTCCCTCTTAGCTGATTTTATCACTATTTATTTACTTTATCATCACAAAACTTAGGCTATGGTCTCCTCAGGTGAAGCAGATTTGCTCTGCTTTGCCCATTTTGGGCTGGCAGCAGTGCCCAAAGCTGAGCAGGGGCAGCTCCCAGGGTTTGCCTGCATCAGCTCTTTCCTGCTCTCCATATCTATAATCATTTGTGCAAGGAAGAGTGTTCTTAAATGGACTCCTGCTGGTACTGAGACAGCATTATGGGAGGCTGAGGGAATTCTGCTGTATTTATGGCAGCCAACAGTTCAATAAAGCACAGGCACAGCTCCCTCTGCGTGGCACTTTGCAAGTTACGACTTTCCCTCTTTTCAGCATCTTCATATTGCTGCTTTTTGAACACCTTTCCCTCAAGACCCCAAACTCATCCATAATTTCCTGGCTGACTTAACTAAATCTAAATTTCAGGGAGCAACTGAGGCATATCCAGCCCAAGGAATGAGCATGGTCTCACAGCTAGCAGCCTCTGCACAATCCTTCTGAGCTGCTTTTTGTTTTCTGCAGGGATGCCACATTTTATGGAAACCTTTTTCTGATTTCTTCAACTGGTGTCACCCCTTGTCTGGCTCGTGTATGAGGAATCTAAGGTCAAGACTGCTGTAATTCACTTATTTTTCCTTGCTTGACTGAACTGTAGATTGCACGGAGGACAAATGTCTGACCCACAYTTTCCCTGGAGATCTCTGCCCGGGGATGCAGCCCACTCTCACCCTTGGTGGAGCTCACAGGATGGTGTTTGCCCTGAAAAACAAAGAACCCTCTGCTTGCACTGAGCCCAAAGGATCTGCAGTGGCTGGGATAAAGGCACACATTCCCTCTGCTCCACTGGCAGGATCCTCAGCAGGAACARCAGAGAGCTGGGGCCAGTTATATCCTAAATCATGTTGCTAAATTCACCCAAGGATGTGTCCAAATCCCAAGACACCTGAGCTAATCTGAGGATAAAATAATTCCTGAGAACACAGCCAGGTGACTCTTCAGCTCTCCAGCATCTCAGTGAATCTCCAATTTCTTTGATGTCCTGGCTGTCTCGATGCATTTGTTCATCTGTTAATCTTTTAGCTCTTCTATCCACTGAGAAATAAATCTTCTAAGTGCAAAACAGTGTTCAGACAGCACAGTACAAACACACTCATTTGCAGCAGCACTCAATTCCTGCTCTGCACAGGAGTGGCCTCTCAGTCCCACATCTTTAGTGGTGGGTGAGGAGAACTGGGAAATCGTGGATGTCTTCCCATGGTGGGGGAGGATCAATGAAAGACTTTCTTGCACATCTTTTCCTGTCACAGGTCCCCTGAATGGCAAATTGAGTTAAAATTCGAGCTTTGAATAAGCTACCAAGGATTTGGAGTGTCCTGGATAACACTGTCCCAAAGTTTTATTCTCTTTCACATCTAACAAAGTGACRGAGTTGTTTTCCCTACTCCACCTGAAGAAGTGGAATAACAGAATTGTACAAACTCTGCTGGAACCCATGTGATTTTAGACACATTCTGGTCCATGAAGAGCCTCTTTCCCCATGGAGGCACAAAGGACCCTCTCCGTGGTGTGACATGGGACAAGGACACACCACCACCATCACTGGGGCTTTGTGCTATTCCACCATCCCAAATCACCATCTCAGGCAGCTGCAATCTTGCTGACACACTGAATCACCCCAAATCCACTCCTTTAATGCTAAAAATACAATTTTGAAGACCAGGGGGCTTTTTAAAAGCTATGGAAAGAGTGAAAGTACTACAGCAGCAAAGTGCTGCTGTTTCAATAATGAAAAGTTCAGGCTGCAGCCCACATGGCTTTGTCCTTGTGCTGTGCTTTGGAGTCTGACTCTTCTCTCTCCTCCATGTTCCACACTGGTGTAAGTCCATCTGTTTGCATGGGAATCTCAGCCCAGTTTATGCTACTGTAAAGGAGGACAGAAAGGTCTTAAAAATTTGTTTAAGTGGCTTATGTTTGTAAAGGATTCAATTTGATTATTTTCTGATATCCTGAGTCAATTCCTGAGACACCTGTCCACAAACCAGGAGCTGCAAAATCTATGCAAAGCCAGAGAAGGCAGCTGAGGAGTTTATGCTCWGGGGGTTTGAGCAATGTTTACCCAACACTTTCCTTTGAAGCAGACGTTTAGGAGATGCTCTGCTTTTAAACCTAATTCTGCCTTGCAGAGCAGAACCAATTTGGAGACTAATAATGAAAGAAAATGATTTAGAGATGAACAGATAATTTGTTCAAAATCAACATTTGTTTTCCAGTGTGATACTCCGGAGCTTTTAGTGGGATTCCCATCTCCCGTTCAGGTGTAAGCCTGTACTTAGAGCAGCAGGCTGGAAAGGTGGCTGCATGAATATAGATTGTTTCATTATTTGCTCCTGCTCTTGAATTTTCCATCCCAGCAATTGGCACATAAGCCCTTTTTATTGACCATGGGTGCTGCTTATTTTGGCTCCGGTATTTGCAGGACTGGATTTTGACCTCTCTCCCAGAGCTGGGCAGGAAGGGTAAATGCACTGCTGTGCACAGTTACAGCTTGTTGAATTCTGCACTGAGGTAAGCTGCTGCCATGAAATTGCTCCTGTCCCACCTGCAGGAGGTGGATGAGGAGACATTCTCCTCTGGGTGACTCCCCACAACATGGGAATAACTCCTCTGGATCCCAAGGTGCCTCAGAAGTCCATGTTTTAACAAAAAAAAAGACACAAGTAACAGGATTTTCAGAACTACCCAAGTTCCCAAGTTCCACTTATTACAACGGGTGTTAGCTACTTCTGAAAATCCCATTGAGCACCTAAATGCCATAACAAATCTGACCCTTAATCTCAGTTCTTAGTTCTGCAACAGAGGTAATAGCACTTCCCAGCTCCATAGGGAGGATGAAAAGATAAATATATTAGCAGTTGTGAAGCAGTTASTGAGGCCAGGGAAGTACCAGGGATAAAGGGCTGGCACTGGATAACTGATCTCTCCAAACATGTGGTACTGTGCTTCTTCCTTCATCAAAAATAGTGTTAGTCCTGTTCCTCCCCTGAGCACACCCAGCTCCAGCTCACCACTCTTAATTTGCAGTGCTAAATCTGCTTTTTAAGCCCTTCTCCTCAATCCTACYCCCAAAGCACCTCCCATTTTAAAGGGAGGTGATGGCATGTGGGCATCTCACAGTGAACCCCTGGAAATCGCTAGAAATTCTGTTCTCCTCAAAACCAACAAGGGAGCAAAAAATGTGTCAACCCTGCTTTGCAACAATTTAAAGGAAACCAGCACACAAGCTTCTATTGTGGTTCCAGAGGAAAGTCATTCACTTGGAAAGATCATTACTTACCCAGATTTCTAGTTTTCATTTCCTTCATCATAAATTATCACATTAATCACTTCAGTACCAYGGAATCTATTTCCCTCTTGTTCCTCCCCTCACCCCCTCCAGGATAATACAGCATTTTCCTTACTCTTATGAACAGCCTTTTGAATTTGGGGTAAAAAAGGGRTATTAAAGATGTGAAGGCAGTATCACCTGCAGTTGGGGCTGCTGATGTGCTCCCAATACAGTGGACATAATTCTGTTAAAAGGGAAAATTTGATGTAAATAGTTGTGAGGGGAATTTTGCCTAGATCCAACACTGATGCAAATGTGACTTGTGACTTGCAATCTGTGCCTTGCACCAAARGCTACAGCAGAGGAGAGGGATGATCCTCAACACATGGAAGGCTTAATGTGAACTGAAGACCTTCTGCTACCACTTTGTAATTTTTCTCATTTTATTTATTTATTTATTTTTAAACAAGAAGCGCTCTCAAGCTCCAGAATTCCTTGTCCCCACAAGGGATTTTTCTGTGTGGGGCACAAACACTGCCTGCAGTATGGAAACGGAAAGAGAAGTTCATGCTCAGGAGGAGAGGAGCATATGATGCAGCAGAGTGGGAACAGGAGCTAA